AATGGTCAGATACATATTCAATAAAAGTTTCAGTAAGATTGAATGTTCAGGGAAAAAAAAATTTTAGAGGGGGGGGCCCTTAAACGACCTTTCAAAGTACGTATCATTTTTTAGTTCTTAGTAATGGCGACACAAACATGCGGCACATTCTTTTATGAGACAAATTTCTCACAGAAGCTGCAAGATAAACATGCGACACAGTATTTTTTTACTGCGAATGAAAATATTTTAAAGAGTTGAATTTATCAGCCAAGTAAGCAAGTCGAACGCCAACTACAAATACACTGCTGAGAAGGGCATTAAATTGACTTTCTTGAACCTGGGCGAAAAGAAAAAAGCCGAAAGTGAAATGTCGAAAGGAAAAATGACGAATGGAAAAACATCGAAAATGAAAAATGTCGAAAATTAAAAACGCCGGAAAAAAAACGTAGAATGAGAAAATGTCGAATTACAAATATGATAAACAGCGAAATAAAAAAATACCGAAATGTAAAAATATCGAATGACAGATTTTAGGAGATTTAACAGTCAAAATGATCATCACTAAACAATCGAGAAAGAGAAGGAAGAATAGAAAGAGAACATATCAAGAAGAATAGCAAACATTTAGACTTTGGTCAATACATTTTCAGTCACATATCAATGGTTACATCAACCAGTGCGGATGGAAACGTTTCTTTCATTACGTCCAACAAAGCTCAACGATTATTGGTAGTGGATGAACATGTTTACCGATGCAATAAGAAAACAGGTCGAAAAAAATATTGGGTATGTATGATCCAATGGATGCTTCATAACGATTCATACGGATAAAAATGATATTTATTTACGTGGTGGGAAGAGTCATCATGACCACGAATCCAGCTCGGATTTTATCAAAACAACACGTCTTCGTCATCAGATGAGGCAACGTACTCTGAATGACTTAACACCCATCAACATCATTTATGAAGAAGAAATAGCGATTCTCTTTCGATATTTTTCTTTTCGCCCAGGTACAAGTTAACCATTAAATTCTCTATAAAACAAGATGTTGTAGTAAACCTATTCAGCACTTTTTGTTATGCAGATCCATCAGACGCGATTTCAAAGTCATTTAATACGATGACAAAAATTCTATCTGATATTTTGTGCCGATTTACTGTTAAAAACATTTTCGCTATAAACTTTTTACAAAACACATCAGTAGATAATTTCAAAAGAAAGCCTTTGTTCGCTAGACAGGTAATAAACCAGCTTTTTCTAGTATTATGACAAAAATCCTTGACGTATGCTTTTTTCATACGAGTGCTCTATTTTCAAGCTATTTATTATATAAAAGAAGGACAACGTAAAACAACACGAAGATAGGTCCTTGCAGATATATCGTCATCATATAATCCTGGAACGTCTATCCTGTGGGATGTTTGAGGCGCAATGCCTCAAACAAACGTAAGGTGTTACGCTTTTTTGCTGTAGAAATTAATTTTTCAGGAGGTACGTACACTAGAAGATCGAACCTCCGAGATGGTACAAAAGGCCTGAAATATTCAGGTGGGAATAGACGACGCTGATATAATCTCTCATTTAAATAAACATTTGTGTTTATATAGAAGCACTGTAATTTTGACATACCTTGTGTAAATGTTTTGTTTATTTTGCATATACCGTTTTTTAATGTTATTTACTGATAATTGGTTAAAACAGTCTTGTTTGAATTTTGTACGTGTTCTATATCTATAAGAATATTACACTGATGTAAAAGGTCGTCTTTAACGCTGATTACCCGTACCAAATTACACATAGGTTATTACTTTTACCTACGTATAAGTTTACTCAGTCTACGTAGAGTGACATACTGAAACGATACCACTTTTATGTAACATTAATATACTTTTCTATGCAATGGTACTTCACCTTGTAATCATAGTTAATTTTATATTTGTTTACATATGTACATACATTTTTTACTATTTCCATGCTATGTACATTTTTAAAACGTTTTCTTTGTTTGTGTTTCTATGAACCAAGGAGAAAACATTCATTTATGACCATCTTGCGTAGAAATATATCTTCAAATTTTCACAATTATATCCTATTTGGATAAAATTGTAAGCCATTCATATTTTCAACTAGTTTGGCATCGATCGACTACGTCAGAAAAATTCCAGAATTGTGAACTCGTCGTCTAAAATTAGAGTTATCTGAATCAGAAGTATCTTTTTTCTTCATCATTTTTCATAATCAATTTGTCAGGCTTCAATAGAATGTCATCAATACTTTTAGAGCGAAAATCAATGATTTTCTTTACAAACTGTCAATTACACAGTTGCCACTCAAAAATAATAACCACTTACATTAAAAAGAAATCATAGAATATTTGAATTCTTCAGCGTTTATGTTCAATTACTCATGCACACCATAAAATTGATTTTAAGCGCTAATTATCTACTATGCACACGCATGTCACCATGTATTTCTCGTTATAAAACAAAAACTTAGGTGAGTCATATTTGCAAAAGAAAGGAAGGTATGAAGAAAAAGAGTCATTTTTTTTGTATATCATCAAGAATTGTTAAAAAAATGGCCATCGTGCATAGGAGAAAACGAAGAAACGGGAGAAAAAATTGATCAAGCATGCATAGTAATCTACATATCATTCAAATTTCTATACAGTAATAAATTTTTGAAAGCAAATAGCATCATCATCATCTAATATGAGTAAGAAATAAATAAATGATAATGCAATAATAAATATTTGTCATACTTTATTGACAACATCACCACTTTTATTACTCGCCTTATAACTATAGCTATTAACAAAAAAGAAATATATATACAAAGGTAATAGAAAACAGAGTAAGATGAATAGTACAAATAATTTTAGCTAATAAAAAGACTAAAAAAGTTGAGATATGAGAGCACTATTTTTTAGAATATAGAACGAGAGCGATTGAACAGAACAAGTCAACAATATACAAATTTAAATGTGGAATTACTATCTTCGTAGTTTAGAGGAATTAAAAACTATACGTGATTTTGTTTGTCAGCTTATTTGTTCCGGATGCTAAATGTTCCTAATGGTTCTTCTACTAACCAACATTCTCATCTCTTTTTTTTATCTCACAATTAACTTTAGACCTCAATAAAGTCGTGTTACCAAGCCCATTTTCGTGTAATGTTATTTCATTCTTTCTCTTTATATCCTTCATTTTTTGTTCTTTTTTTATTGTTTCTCTTTTCTTTCTTATTTACTTGTCATTTATATTTATATTTTGTTTTTATAACGTTGATGAGCGTTTACGCACTCGCTCGACCTCTCTATAAGTTTTTCATTTCTACTTTTCTAATAAAATATAAACTAAAAAGTTCAATACAATCGTAGAATGTTTGGTTGGGAAACAAATATATCTGATAGCTAAAAATGCACACGTTTTCTAATATTTGATGGCATATAACTTAGAATAATTTCTTTCTTCTTTTTACAGCTTAAAATAAAACTTGAAAGATGTATCGCTCCTATAATCCCAACGATTATGATACTCAACATTTTGCTGATTATAGTGCAAATAGAACCGATATAAAATATAAGTACAATGGAATAGGTGAACAATATCAATCCACTTTTATTCCTGCTAAATCGTTGACACGTATCGATTTAAAACAGCCAAGTTTTCAAAAACCAGTTCGTCCCCAATATCACGAAGAACAAACCAATAATTCTCGACTCTCGTTAGTTCGAGGTGATATGCATCCGGAGCCGTACAGTGGTCGACAAAGATTTGTGCTTGACAGTGACCTGACGGATGATCGAAAAACTCCAGAATACCAACAACAATCTCAATTATCCAATATTCGGCAAGAACACAATGAATATCATCCTACATTCAATGATCGATTTAGTAATCTACCACAAAGTCAAAATTCACGATTCTTATCACAAGAACTACATCCAGCTTTACCGACAAACAATCAACAGCAGCAAATAGCTCGTACTGTTTCTCAACATTCTGTTTCTGCATCTACTCCTACTTATCAGCAGCAAACATTTAAACAACAGAATATTCCTATTCGAACTTACTCGTCTGAAACAGAAGATCATCCAGAAATTAAAACATATCCATTTAATCCATTATCTCAAAATCACAACAAATTACAAAAATCTTTAGAAATGGAAAGGACGGAGAGTCAACATCCCAAATTACGTGAACAAAAATATGACGATAATAATCAACAGATAACAGAGGGTAAATATCTGTTTAATTAAAACCAAAGCAGATGTTTAGATGTTTAATTAGTATTTAGGTCAGGGTACTATAACACGTCATGATTTATCTGTAAAACATGAAGATAATTCAGCGCCGCCGCTACCACCTCGGAAACAAGAAAAAATGCCAGAACACTATTCAAACGTCCAAACGGTTAGTAGGAGGTCAATAGAGTTGGCTGAATATATAAGACGTTGACCCTATCCAGTTTTAATTAACATTAGTCTAACCTGAATATTTTTTGCTAAGATACAGTAGGCTCACTGCATTCAAATGACAGATCAATACAAACCTCATCAACGATATTGAAAACTTACAAATTATGTTTCTAGAATAGTCAACAAGAAGAGAACTCTGTTTCTACGAAAAAAGAGAGACAAGAACAATTGCATGAAAATGGTGAGAAAGCTTTTAATCCTGCACAAGAATACCCAAAACCAGAGAAAGACACTGAAGGAAACTCAAGTAGTCAAGAAACCAATACTAGTATTCGACAGCCATCGAGAAAAGATGACAAACAACAAACAGAAAAGAGTGAAATAGACAAAGAGTACAAGGTATGTGTTCTGTATAATCTTCTTTTATTTTACAAACAACCTGACTATCCTACGTTAGGATTCTGTAACTGAAAAAGTTCAACTACGTAGTCGTGAAACCAGCCCACAACGTTTGCCGATTAATGTTGGTTTTTTAAAAAAGACTTTTGGTTGTCTTACCCCGGGTATCATCATCGCTATCGTAGTCATTGCATTAGCGATTTTATTAGGAGGTAGACACTTAAGGAAATCATCAGCATTAGACACTTCGATAACACTGTCACAACCAAGTATTTCATTTAATGAACAAAAGCCCTCGAGTCCGATTATCGATAAACAACCCAAAACCAAACGTCCAACAGCAGAACGTTCTCGAGACAATAAGAGAAAAAAACAACCGGTTAGTTCTGATACGGATGAACTCACAGTAGTCAAATCGAAAAATAATCGTCAGCTGAGTACCTCAGAACTTCTAAAAACGGGCATCAATAGTCGTTCAAAACCAGATGCCAACGGTCGCTTATTCGGTTTCAAAATATACAACGGTAAGGATACAAAAACAAAAGACACACCATTACCTCATCAATTCACTCAAAATAAAGTAAACGATGAACTACGAAATATTTTATCACGTCGTGATTATCTTCATGCTCTCAGTAAAGCTTCAAAGGTTGATCAAAATCGCATTCAACGTTTTCTTGCAGGCGATCGCAATATAACATTAGATATTATTGATCGCATCGCTAATGCACTCGATCTTAGTCTAATTATGGTGCCTAAAAGTCGACTTATGGAACATAAGGATAAACATGGATTCTTAACAGTGGTTTAAATCTATTCAATCAAGATTGAGGAATCTTCATGTGAGAGAAAACTGAGATGACCTCAGTGAGACTTCATTTGAGAACCTCAAACAGCTGAGTTATTGCTCTATGTAACGAGCTACCGAATTACCAACCGACGCATCTACGTTTACCTTAAACAGAAAAAAATAGACGTATACAGCTGCTTTTTTTATGCATCACACAGAACTTTTTTTAGTTAATTTGAACAAATTAGAAGAAGTCTCATACTAAATTTATTCAAGCTAATTTGATTCTATAAACTAATTTCAATCAATTAGATTTTAATTAGTTCGAATTAATTAAAAAAGTTTCAATAGGATTTCGAAAAAATCAGAGCATAGAATAGTTAATATATCATTTTATTAAAAGAATCCCAAAAGTGACTTGGAATTATTTGTTAGTTATCTCATATTTTTCCCTCGAAACATCAGTTCCAAGAGGTTATTTTTGATTACGATCGTGGATTAGTACTTCTGAATAGTTTTTAGTTTTTTAATTTAAAGCGATCTCCAACAACCAAAAGGATGAAAACTTAATTCATTTTAGTATGAACTAAATCAGGCTAATCAAACGCGTTAATTGAATCAGGACACTTCTAGCTATATATTGGTAAGAAAAATTCGTCTCAGATCAAGTCTTTTAGCGAAAAAGAGTTTCTTTCCCAAACGAGGCGATTTTTCTGAGAGCTATGTTTAGTGTAATGAGTTTCTGAAAGTTTCCGAAGCTCCAAATTCGTTGAAAATTTCAAAGAATGTGCATCGACACAGCCTGAATCTGTCGTGAAAGCAGTTTTTTGCCTAAACTAAGGTCTATGTTTTCTGCAAAAACCGTCGGTTTTCCAGGTATTTACATTTTACTCAGTCAGAAAACATTTTTGTGCTATTCGGAATCAGCGTGAAAAATTGCATCGAATGATGTATCACTTATTAGTGCTACGAATAAAAAATTGTTTATCAAAATTTCAGGGCTAGGCCTCTCCGTCAACCGACGTTTGAGCGCCCGACATTTGAGCGACCGACATTTGAGCGACTGATATTTGAGCGATCGACGTTTGAGCGACTCCGACATTAGACACTTTTCAATATGACTTTTTGCCGATCAGGAAAGTCGAATGATTATTCACTTCGATAACGATGATCAGAACAATTTTTTTGTCGTCCGATTATGAACTG